AACAGCCTTCTTCAGGGCTACCAGGAGCGCGTTGACGCTGCTGAAGGTATGTGTATTTATATGTTCATCTGTGTTGTGTAGGTATGTTCGCAAAATGAAGTGGTGAAGAATTTATGGGGAAAACAAGCCGCTAGCGAAATTGGATAGCTCGCAGGACTCGAAGTATCGATGTTTTGTAATGGGACTGTTGTCATAACATTCGTACGGATATACAACACTCTCTGTCATTCCCTGAGAAGTCGTGGAGTGAGAAGGGTGGTCAAGGAGGAGAGGAAGAAAGCCAATCCGCAGCTGATCTAAGGCATAATTAAGTGTTCAGATGTCATCACAAAGGGCACAATTAAGTGTCAGAAGTCAATAAAACGTAATGCCATAATTGTGATGATGCCTTCTGCTATATGAAACACCTCTTTGTGCATACGCGTCACCTCCACGAGATGTAGGTGGAAGGAACCACCGCGTAAGACGTAGAGCTTACGCAGGAAGGGAATGTCGCGATTGTTGACGGGGTTCATTCTTATGTAGAAATATTGTGAGGATGCATCATGTTTCTTGCGCAGTCACACGAGAATTTTTGCAGATGGCAGCGGTAGCAACTACGTAGGAAATCGCAGCTCCTCGAGACCAGGCCCCATGTAGAACAGCTAAAAGGGTTGCAATCTTGCGGTCACAAATGTTATGAATAATTTTGTTTCAGACCCTTGCGTTTCTTCAGCGCAACCATCCACTTCGAACGGCCTCTCAACATCCGCTGAAGGTGACTTTTATCCCTGAACTACCGCACTGAAAAGGAAAGTGCAATCTCGAAGCGATTTTTTAGAACAAGGAGGAGCGCCTGGCCCTCGGCTCACCGACGGGTAAACTTTACAGGGGAACATTTCCGTGGAATTTTCGAAAGAAGTCAGAGAGGTACTCATCCCGTAGCAAAATACCCCATTCCAGGCTCAGTGCTGATACATTGCAGCATCGCATTTTTTGTGTGTACAAACTTCTTTCAGGAGGTACCCTGTGTTACACGTTTGAGCATCTCAGGACCCGACGCAAGGCCAGTGTACCGCTGCATTGGGATGCAAGAAAGACGGGAGGACCACCAGCGTAGCGGTACTGAAAACTCTACGCTTATGAGTGCGTTCTTCAGCGGGCGAGACAGTAATTTAGGTTATGAATGGTTGCGAGCTCGTTGGAGACCCGGTATATCTACCGCATGTCTGCCGGCCCTTGAAGAACTTACAAGAAAAAGTGCAAAGAATGGTGTATGGGGTAGCAAAGAGACGTTTTCTACGCTCGTTGGAAGTGATCATAGCTTATGACCACCATTTAGACGTGCCAAGAGTTGCCGTCGGACGCACGAAATGCTCACGTATAGCCGAGGCTTGTGGCAGAAGTTGGCGGAACAGGTGCATTATGAAGAGGGTGCAGGTGAATCACGTTTAATCATGCAGTTACATCTGCCATCCAGTTGCGTTTGCTCAGGTTTGGTTTCAGACGAAGCCGAGAAAGATGGTATGCTGTATTTCTTCCACCGACACGGATATGAAGCTCGTAGAAGGACACTGGCACGGTAAACTGCTTACACTTAGTACGCTATATAATGCGATAATCGTGGACGCGATTTCCAGGGAAACAGCGAAGCTTCACGACAGGCGGGTAATGAATTACCACGTCCCGCCGGAATATGCCTGATGGAACGGCATTTGCAGCATGACCCGGAAGTGCAAGTGGATTATTCTGTTCAATTAGTTGAGGTCTTTCTTGGCAAAGCGGCTTTGTCTCAACATTTTCTTCACGGTCCTTACTTCGAAGGAGGTGCGGCTTGCCTTCACGGCGTTGGTTAGGGATGGCGTGCATGATGTGCAGCCTGACGCCACCAACAAGTTGGGCCAACTGTACACCATACATGGAGTGCTGCGGACCGGCGACGACGTGCCACTACTCTATGCGGTCACTACAAGGTTTGATGTATTTGCGTCCAATCTATGATTCGATGTCTTATATACTTATTTGCCGATGCCTATACAAGAAAAACCTAAGGATCGGGAAAACCAAACGTTAATTTTTTGGGGGCCCCCCCCGGGGCCATCACTGACGGGCGAGAGAGGAACGGCAAGATTAGGATTATTCTGGACTTCGAAAGAGCCGCTATCAATGCGGTCAAAGGGTGCTTTCCAAGGGCATCAGTGGAGGGGTGCGCTTTCCATTCAGCGCGAACGTGGAATAGGGAAAGGGATGCCCCTGAGTTGTTCCCGCTGGTAAGTGGGGGACCCACGGAATAGATGCGTTCAACAATGGTGGCATGCAATCAAGGGGCTCGTTTTTCTTCCAAAGCATCTACACCGTAGGTCCCCGGGCTTTTTCGCCCACCCTTTTCTAGGGAGCATAGCGCCTACGATAAATGCGCCATGTTCCTTGAATACTTGCATAGCAATTGGTATCAGGGTATGTTTAGGAACCTGTGGAACAAGTGGGACCTTCACGATCTACGGACCAGCAACATCGCCGAATCGTACCACAAGTTCGAAATTTAACAACATTAGTTTCTTCAACCGTAATGTATTTGGTTCCGTTTCAGCGCTTTGAAAGGATTGCTGAACAAAGTGAAGTATCCTCGCATGAGCGACTTACTCATCGCTCTCCGAGGCTACGTCACAACATCACGAGGAAATTTATTAGACATCGAATAGGTTGGTTTCACGCCAGTTCCACTTAAGTCGCATACCAAGTACCCTGTCTCCTAGAATAATCAGCCGAAGAAGCTGCAGAAGAAAGATAGACTGCGTCGTCGAAGAATCAGGAGAGAAATGGAACGCTTCAAGGAACTCCTCAACGAAAATCGCGCATTCCTCCACACCAGGATCATCACCAGATACTGTCGGAGGATGTCTAGATTTGTGACAGACAAATCGGTGTGAGGGGTAAGTTCAATACTTCAACCTCTTCCATAAGTGGAACCCATCCAACGCGAAACCGTTTTAGAATGTTCTCAACGGCACAAAACGGAATGTCAAGTCGACGCTACGGAGCGACAGCAAGGTAAGTTCCCGCATTCTCCTCAAATTCTTTTGTGTATGGTTCAAACCAACCTCTCTTCAAGTAGTGTACATGTATTATATTTTCGAGCATTTCCTTTGATTTTCCACTCTTGTTTATTTATAGCG